ATTCACGCACAGCTTCGATGGAATTTCGGTGATCACGAATTTTGATTGGCCCACATGTTGATCGTCATTTATGTCCTCAAGGCCGCATTGAAAACGTTGAAACCACTCGTACACTCTGCTACGGGATAGACAATCATCGCCATAAACTTAAATTGAATCGCCATCAATTGAAACGTTGCGGTAAAAGTTTTACCAATTTTAAAACCAAATTTGATGTTGGCTCTTTGTTCGAAGCTCATTATCGCACCGATAACACAAACATATTGACGCTTAAAACGCAATAACTTCACTTTCAATCGATGAAATGTCATAAAATTCTCACTGGACAATCGATAAAGATAGCAGATTCTAAAGCACCAGTCAACATATGGATAGCGCCACCAGGGGGCGCTAGATTCAAAAGTCCTGTTTACTTTGGAACGCACCTTGTATGTGCATTTTTATAGCCTGTACCTAGAGGGTATGAAGCTATACTACAAGTAGTTTTGTGCAAATGCATGTAACACACAGAAGTAGGCGTGGCAGACCCAACAAATTACGAGTCGATATAACCACGTCCGTCTGTCTCCTTGTGCCTGTTACATACATTCGCACAAAACTAGTACAGTACTATAGTACAGCCTTTCACCCTTTGGGTACTGACTATAACAACTTTAGAAAGTTTAGTTTTGTCTAAGACATTCGTATTTTTCACAAATGCGGAAAAGCATATTACTTATTACTCGTTAGCAATGCTTAGAATATAGGTAATATATTAGCAATGCTTTTGTTCAAGGCCTATTGTAACAATGCGTGCATATTCCGATTTCGTGCGTAGTGTGTTGTATGTGTTGACTCAAAAGAGCACAAAAACACCCACGAAAAAAAACCAAAACACAAAAATAACACGGCATAGGTACATTTAGTATACATATCTACAAATCATGCATTTGTGGATATGTATTTTATAAAAAGAACTTGATTCCGTTGGAAAATGCCAAGCGCACTGGATGCTCGATTATTCTTATCTTCTTTCATAACAATTAATAAATAGTTTTTAAAGCAAAATTTATTAAAAACATTCCAATATTAATGACAATTCTTTCATATACATACATATTCATACTTTTTTTTATTTCTACTTTCAGTTTTTTTTTTTTTGTCAGACAATGCCTTATAATATTCCAGAATACTACTCTTAAGCAGAATCTACTGTCTGCTATAATTCTATCAAGCGATCAGTCAAAATATATTTGAAGAGTCCTTACCACCGAATAAGAGTGAGAAAACAAATTATATCTGTTGTCAAAACTGTAAATATTTGTTTTCGAGAAGTGGAGGCGATGAGAAAAGAAACTGGGCCCGAGGCTTATAGTGATTAAAGAATCAATTATGTTCGCAGTCGTCAATAAGTGCTAAAAAATAATAAATTGGGGAACTAAGGTGTCGGTTGCGTATGAGAGCACACAAGTAATTGATAAAAGTTCAAGGAATAAGTACTTATGCTTTATGCATAAATTTGGTATCAGTGTATTCTTCAAAGAACTGACTGAAGAGAACAAGGTTTCGATTCATTCTAACAATACAATACTACAAGTACTACTACAGCATATGTAATTACTAGTATTTTAAGCCGATAGTTAATTTCGATCCATACAGTTATAAACGTAAAATATTGCTCTAATTCTATTTCATTTCAATCGTATGTTACACTTGGACTAATGAATCATCATAAACTAAGGCCTGATTGCAATCAAATTTGGACGCACATATGTAACTTTGAACACTTTTTGGGAAAACCGAAAAAATAAACCAACGTAAAATTTCCAATTTGCTTTGTTGGCTCAAAAACGATTCTTAACCACTGTATATACACACATACTTGTATACAATGCTTGTATGTGCATATGGTATACATACATATATATGTATTTATTTATTTATATAGATGTTGCTACCAAAAATCGCCCATTTGCGTAAACAATCAAACACAGAAATAATGAACTTATATTTTTGCTTATAATATATAGTATATATATTGTACACACGAGTAAAGTCATATGCGTTCTCCTTATCGGAAGCGCATATGTATGTACTTGTGTATATGTATGTAGATACCAAATTTCATCCATCTGCGTCAAATAGTTGCTGATAAATAAAGAATTTCGGGTCTGTCTTTTAGGGGGGCGTGTCAGGCACACTTTGCAAAACACTTTGCCTTTCTGTTTCGTGGCTGATAATGAAAATGTTGGTAGCGGTCAGTCGTATGACTTGGGCACGCTTGAACAGATAAAGATAAAAACGATTTATGAAGAAAAACAAATCATGCCCTTTCCGGTAGAAACTGGAAGAGGAGGGAAAACAATTTGCAGGGTACGCGTATTCCACTCTTGTTAGTATTTCTGGTTAGCATTTCTAGCACTCCATTTATGTTTCTATTAAAAATAAATTTATAAGACACGACAAGCCTACGTACAATTGTAGATAGATTTAAGAATGTACCTTCTGAGATCCTTGCGCTCATACAGACGGACGGACGGACAAACGGACAGACTCGACTTGTCACCCTGATCAAGAATATATATACTTTGTTGGGTCTGCCACGACGCCTCCTTCTGTGTGTTACATACATTCGCACAAAACTAGTATAGCCTTTTACCCTTTGGGTACAGGCTATAAAAATGAAATGCACAGGAGTATAAAAATAATTATTATTTTATTTTCCAAAGAATACAAAGATTCATTTATACGTATATCAGAAGTTCTCAAAAATACTTAATTTTTTAAGATTTAATTTTATATTTTAATTTATTTGTTTAAACAAAAAAATTCTTAAATTAAAATAAAGTCGAAAAAGCTCAAGATGTGGAAGTATGTAGAAGTAGTTGTTAAAAACCGCAAATTTTATTGGATAAAGTGCGCCCAAGCCTCTATTCGCTTTTGTGTGTACGTACGTACATACGTATGTACGTTCGAGTATGTACATGCATACATACATATGTAGAACGGAAAGAAATCATTCAATTATTTTGTTTACCTCGTCGGTTAGCATAAAAATGGGTACCAAAAATATTATTCTTAATCATGGGCAAGCCACTTATTTTTATACCCTGCACACAAACGATAGTTTTAGGTTTGTTTCAATTGGTCATTGATGGAAAGTAAAACCGAGAGGGAATGAGGGAACATTACAAACATACAACATACAAGTGCACTAATATATGTATATTCCATATGTACGAGTATGTATACGCATTCATTATCAGCATGACGTAAAAAACCGATATTACGTATGCATGCATTTATTTTATGTACATATGTATATAAATGTATGTATGAACTTGTACTTGTGTGTGTACATACTAGAACATATGTATGTATGTACATAAGAATGTACCTGAAGGAAGTTATCCCAATTAATAGCCACTCAACTGACGTCTGATTTTGCTGATTTTGTAGACGCACACATACATACATATGTACATACATATATGTACGAACGTATGTACATACATACATATTTACATATGAGCGCATGTTCGTAACAATAATTAAATGAATTAAATTTATACACTTTACTATGTATTATATTTCGTTTTCCTGGATACTGTGTGCAGAGAATATGCCAGTCGGACACACCCAACTCTTGGGTTTCGAACATTGTTATTTACTTGTATTTAAATAACAAAAATATGTTGTTTGATTTTGCTTTTTGCAGTAGCGAAAAAAAGCAGAAATGTCAATCTCTTTCAATCCCGTCTGCCCACTTTCCGTCTGTTCAGCCAAAATTTGTACATGGGCCACTCTTTTGCATTACTAATAAGCAGAAGTGGTTCACGGCGTTGTTCGGCGCCGAATGAGAGCAATGTACTCGCAATGCCGAATACACAATATTCAGCATGTTGGATCAGCTCATCAACTCTCTCCTTTTATACCTTGTATCCAAAGGGCAAAAGGGTAGACTAGCTTATTGCGAATGTATGCAACACATAGTAGGAGCCGTGGTAGACCCACCAAAATATATATACTTGTCCTCTTATACATTCAAGGATCTCAGATAAAATAAGAGCTAGAATAGCCAGACTTGTCAAAAATCTCCAAAGAATTTGTAGAATTCTTTAATGCAAATTTGCCCTCATTTTGTATCATAAAGGTATGCCCATTTTTAAGAGAGGTATAGCCATAAATATAATCTCTGCTCATAATTATCTATGTGTTGATAGTTTTTCATTTTATTTATTTTGATAAACCTAAATTTTTAAAATATTAAAAAATTGTTTTTCAAGGAGGACTCAGGGTATTTAGGAGTGCATGTTCAACTTTTTCTTTTCCATTCCTGTTTGTCTTCTCTTTGCGGCGTTTTGGCGGTTCCACTATACACGTGCCAACTTGTTCGAATAACTTGATACACCTCTCCCAACAATCAAAATATGCTGATCTTACTTACAACACATAGTCAAAAAGAACTACCAGGTATGCCTTCAAAGACTATAACTTTTTCACTCTCGCACGTACGTCACAAATATCTCACCATAATCTACGTACGTAAGCTACGTCGCTCTCCCTGTATCTTTTTTTATTATTTTTTGCTCTCATGCTCAAAATGGTACTCGCAATCTAGATATGCTAGTGCGTAAGCAAATGGAGTACAAATGCATTTCTCTGCCCACATCAAATGGCGACAGTTTTGAATGTAAGTGGGTGGCTTACCTCAATGGACTTCTAGCTGCTTCGTACCAATTCCTAAAGAGAACGCATTATGTCCATCTGTAGCTATATCTGTAGCTCGTGTACCACTTAAAAAATTTCGTTCTCTCTGCTGGCGCTCACAGTCTGTTATTCTCTATACATATCAGTCGCACACAGCACCAGAAACTCAGTTCTTTCAGACATTCTATGCGGGTTAGACGTGTTCGCTTCGATTTTGTCGCAATTTATGAGCCCTAAAAGCATAATACGAATTTTTTTTTCGAAATATCGCAAGTGAATGCCAATCTTTAAAAAAAATTGCGAAAAATTGAATGTTATTACAAAACAAATTCATATAGCTAAAAAAGCTTGTGCATAAGATCAGTGGCACAAATATTTATAAATTTGCTGACACTTGTATTCCATAACCCTAATATTAGTTGTTATCATCTTTAAAGAAGCGCACTTGTTCCTTTTTTGTATCAATTACAATTTGAACAGATATAAAATGACTACTAAAATGGCGATAAATGCAAAGGTTCGTATTGCAATCTCTCATTTATAACAATGAACATAATAATCATCAAAATAATAAATCGGCACTTTGTGATTATAGTGTATCATATTAATGCGATAAGTATAAATTGCAATTAATTGAAAGAAAAAGTTTAATATTTTACAGAAATTTATGAATTAAATGCCGAAATATGCTTAAACGTTTAATCACTTCAAGTAGTGTCATATACTTCACATTTTTTAAAAATATTATTTAAAAGGAAAGCTAATATTAGCTAACCTTTAAAAGAGCTCGCCAATATTTCACATTGGGACTTTCAATATCATTTCATAGTTAAAAAATTCCAAAAAATTACAAACTTCTTATACTTCGTACCATATATACCAATTTCAACAGTATATTTGAAACGTAGACTTGCAATATTACTCAGATGGGAAAGGTTTCCGAAATGCAGGAAGTCCAATAAATTACTAAAGCGTTGCAAATGTTGTAAGCTTGCTCTCTGATATCAGTTTAGACAGTATATTTAAAATGGGAACTTTCAATATTACTTAATGGGAAAAAGAGGTGCAAATTTTGTAAACATCCTCCCCGATATTAATTTAGATAGTACGGGAACTTTCAATATTACTTAATGGGGAAAAGTTTCCCAAATGCAGTACAAGTCTTATCAATAATCCAAAGCGTTGCAAGTATTGTAAACATCCTCCCTGATATCAGTGTAGACAGTATTATTCAAACGGTGACTGTCAATATTACTTAATGGTGAAAAGTTTTCAAAATGCAGTGTCATTCATAAAACTAATCAATACTCCAAAGCATTACAAATTTTTGAAACTTCCTCTCTGATAAGAACTTAGACCGTATATTTTTTAATTGAATACAAAAAAACAAAAACCAAACAGATCATCACAATGCGTGATTGTGCAGAAATATTGATAAGCATTGTCTTTTCCCACATATACTTATGTATGTATTTAATTAAATATTTTGGATGGGATGGCAACAGCAACCAAAATCCATCCAATGTTGTTGAAAATTGCCGATAAGCAATGTTGATAAATAATTGCATTCTGAAATGTATTTTAGTTAATGCAAATCACGTTCCACTACATACATATGTACATATGTATGTAGTATGTACATATGTACATATGTATGTACATACATTTGGTATATAAATACTAAACATACATACATATGTATGTATCCTCCAATTAGATTCAAATTGGCTTAAACACACAAACAGGTAGGAGTCATCTTAAAAGTAACCAGTTTAGTCGATGTGATCAAGTTTAAAAATTGGCATTTAAAAGTATATAGTACATCTACATATATGTATATATGTATATAAATAGGGGTAACCATTCGAAGCTTTTAAAAACGAAATTTGTAGTAAAATACGTTCAGATGTTATGAACCCTTGAATTTCTTAGCTTGGCCTAAGTAAGCATAATTTTACTGCTAAAGGCCATTAGCGCCACGTAGATCTCTAATTGTAAAATGTGTAAAAATACCCTGTACCGCAAGAGTATATTGGATTTGTGCAACGTATGCAACAGAAGGAAAAAAGCATCCCCGCTCGACCCCATAGAGTAAAATTCTTAATCAGCATGACGATAAAAATAAATCTACACTTATCCATCCGCCTTGACGAACGTATACATATAATTCGAAAATGGCTGAATTCATACAATTGTGTTGAAAATTTGAAAAAAATTTGAGCACAGGGTATTTTACTGTCGGGCTTGCTCGACAGTAACGTTCCCACTTCTTTTTTTGGCTGTCGGCAGAAAGGCAGCAGGTAGCAAGCCGAAAATTCGCGCAGCTATACATAAATATGTATCGTACATATTTAGCATACATACATACATATGTATGTATCATGATACAAAGACGAGAGATACCATATTCAGGGGTCCGACTGTTTGCCTTTTCTGCGCATTAACATACGTCAGAAATATCAGCCGATAGCCCAATGCGGCAGCACATGCGCACATTTTCTCTCTCGCTCGCTCCCATTTTATGAACTGCTTGCAGCGAATCACAATTACTGAAGGCCGTTTTTTTAGTAAAACGTTGCAAATATTTGTAAATAAGGTTTCAAATCGGTTTATATGTACATGTGTGCATAAATGCTCGTATATGTAACATATAGAAGAAGGCGTGGCAGTCCTTATGTTTTAGCGTTGTAACAGAGAGCTCTCGCAAAATCGCTTCGTTCGTGCCTATGACACCTATAGGATATACATACATATGTACATACATACTTAAGTTTCAGGAAGGAAAACATTTCAACAATATTTTATTCGGGCGGGCAATTGAACAAGACTATATACATATACATACATACATAGTAAATACATATGTATGTAGAGTGGCTCACAGCTTATTTCAACCAGCACCCTAAAAAAATTGTAGGCTCTATAAATTCTTAGCTAAAAGAGAAATCAAAATAATTTAAACGCAATTTGTTAGTCTGATGACTTAACTTACAAAATTTAACTTCATATATTTTTAAAGTATTTTTTCAAAATTTTATAATAATTAAAAACTATGTACATATGTATGTAAATTCATTCCGACGATGTATGTACTTGCATATGTATGCAAAAATGATCATTTAAAAAGGAGGATAGAAATTAGGTTTGTGCCGTGTACTACTTATGTAGTATGTACATAAGTAGTATTCTTAATTATTATCCATATCTCTGGATGAACGCCTGAATTAAAAAAACGGCTGAGTCCAGATTGGGCTAACTAGGAATGTACGATTTTTCTAATCGTTAGGCAAAAAGAGTTTATTTTTATTTTTTGTAAAATATTTAAGTATAGTATGTATATTCATAAAATACGGTTATTATTGTTATTGTTTTTATTCAATGTCATATACATACGTAATACGAATGTACATATATACATACATATGTTCGCATATGCGTGTGATGCACATATCAACAAATAATCATTATAATTTGTAACAAATATTGTTGTTACAATAAGATGATGTATGCACATACATATGTATGTATTTCATCAGCAACTCAAAATCTGATGCGCGCAGTGTCTTATTTAATTTATGTATACTGATTAGATTGGTACGATTCGACATTATAATAATTAATCGCACTAAATACTAAACGAATGTCTAATTTATAATGAGGATGATTCGTTGCTAACAAACAGAAAGTTCAGCATATATGTATGTATGTATACATATATACGTACACACGTACGCGTACGTATACTATCTGTTATTGTAATAGAAACCGTTAAAAAATTATTTTTGCTGACGAAATTCATTGCTGTTATTTATAATCCGACAACACGTGCCACACCATGTTGTTTTTGTTTTCGTTTTCGTTGTTGTCTCTGTTTCTATTTAATGTGATGCTAATGCCAACGCTTTTGGCTTATTGACTGCTGGATACTTAGAATTTATAAGTAATTTAGTCTATGCGTCCCTGATGGCGGGTCACTGGGTCGCTGAATTTGTTTCGAATTCAAGGCGCTTACAAGCAATGGCCGAGAATATTGGAAATGTTTTGAACACACACTCGTATAAAGTACATATGTATGTATATAGCACAAATGTATGTGTTTATACTATGCACATAGAAGGGACGATTAGACAGGTTACTTAATTATATGTTAATTATTATACCCACAGCACATATTATTGTATACATATCGTATGCACGTCCAGGTTGTTCGTTGCCAGACAAACGAAGGGCATCAACGGCAGAGATCTAGGCGCCTCATTGAATTTAGCATGCATAGGTTTTGATTTAAATGAGTCCATAAAAAATGCTTTCCATTTATAGTGTTTACATTTAGTCGGTATTTTAAATGTCTTGCAGTGTCATCATAGTACTCGTATAACAAGAAATATGTTGTACTGACGATGGACCCGTATTCGATTTTATCTGAAAGCCAGGAGCGTACGCTTTAGAAAAAAATTTTGTAACCTGAAGTCGAAAACGCATTCATTATTATGGCACACTATTTTCCTTAAAATGGAACTGAGTTGGATTTCTGAAAAATGTTTTGATGATCGTATGCATAAAAATATAATTAATTATATGCAAACCGCGATTTTCGAAAAAAATTATAATTAAATCGTTGTTGGAAGGATATGCCTTCAAGAAATCAAGCACACTAGTGTCAAAGTAATACGGCATTCTTGAAACTGTAGTGAATATAATGCAAACCAAAAGTAATGATATTTTTAAATACGCTGTACATAACATATACGCCATGAATTTGAATCCTTGAATATGCACAGATCGGCATTAGGTATAGTCTTCAATGATAAAAATGCTTCAGAATTAGCAAATAACGCATCAATGGAAATATCCTATCCTAAGAATAGTGCAAAAACAAAAAAAAAATCAGACCAAATGCATAATTTACATCAGCTCTTCTATATTACTAGAGGGCCATTTTTGTCCCGCACCTTGATTCTTTTAGATCCTTGTTTTCCCAAGGGTTTTCGGAACAAAATAATGCAGTTTTTCTAAACTACTTTGCACTCAAATCAAATTTAAAATGTTTCATTCGACGATACAAACCCAAAAATACAATAGGCGAGCGCATAGAGCACGAGCTAGAATAACAACCTAGTTCCCGGAATGTATTCAGAAAATTCAAAATACAAGTTTATTCATCAATAGTTATATTGTCGCCTTCAAAGTACTTCCTATCAAGTGCAATGCATTTATGCCAGCGTTTGATCCAGATCTCGAAACATTTCTCGAATGTTTTTTCAGTATCAAAACTGTCTTCAAATATTTCCATTACCTCCTTTTGGTTACTAAAACGCGTTCTCCGCACTAGTCGATCACACTGAAAAAAAAAAAAACGCTGGCAGCCAGGTAAATATGATGACTCTTGGATGGTATAAATTTAGAAGAAACTGAAACCACGCCAATTTCAATCCATTTTAAAAACTGTAAAAAATCGGAAGCACATGCAGAGGTAGATGTACCTAAGATACAAATTGGTTGGAATGTTAATGATAGATGTGGCAACCCAACAAAAAATAGAACTCAAGTCAGTTGATTTAGAGCGTCACCAGACAGTTGTTGAAGGCAGTTATTGCAGTTATTTGCCTAAAAAAAGGCGGAATTAGAAGAGTTAACCTAAAAACTCAAAATTAATAATTTAATTTCATATATCTAAATGAATTACTTAATAAATCGGAAAATAGTTGAAAGGCAAATTACCCCCACCCCCTTTGGAAAATGCTGCGTACTCCCTTGCTGAAAGCAACTACAATATTCAAAAAGATCCAAAGCTGATGACCAAGTATAGTATTTAAGCGAGGAAGTATTCACGATTTCAATCAACTGTACACGTATAACGTATAATCATAGAGGGGCAAATTTTGAAAGCCCCTTATAAATAATTTCTTTTGATTTCCTATGTATGTAGTATACAGTCACTCAACTTTTTGGTCGGACTTCAACAAAGAAACGTATCTGTATTTAAACAAAGGTTTTTGACTTAACAGTGACTTAACGTTCACATAATATAACAAATTGGATGGACGGAAATATCTAGATGAAAGTTGCTTGTTATCTGGGCTAAGAATAGGCTCTGCTGGGAACTTGGTTTGCCGCTCTAAGACTGCTGTGCTTATATTATTGGCCATCTCGTCGAGCCCAGATCATTCTGTACCTCCGTGTAAATACAGAAATTTATAAAAATTAATAATTGATAGTATGTAACAAAGAGAAAGTAGTTAATGTATATAACCATATTGTTGATCAGCGTTAAAACACGGGACGATTTATATTTTATTATTATTATTTAAGTAATCGAGCAGGGCCTGAACTTCTACTTGGAATACGAACTCATTTTTTTCTTTAAAAAAACTTTAGACTTTCGGAATATATAACACACCCTCCTCTCCAAAATCTGTCAAATCATCATTCAATCACTGAAACCATACCACTCCACCTTAATATTCACACATATTTTTGTAATGCTTGTATATCCCATTGTGATGAGACCTAATAAGCTTGATGCACAGTGCTTTTTCCGTTTGAATACTAGAGCGATTTAAAAATTCAATGTATATGTTGTTCTCGAAAAATACAAGAGCTTAGAATACCTAAGCTGGATATCTAGATCCTTCTGGGTCCATGAAACAACAGGTTTGTGATACACCCACAACTGTAACGATTTACTAACTGTTCAATAACTAAAGGAAATGATAGTCAGAAATATAGCCCCTATATGCCTTGTTCAGACAGCATCTGTCGTTGCACGAAAAGACATAAACACAAGCTCGATCCAAATTAATTGAATTGAAAAAGTATAAATAAATGTGTATACTTTGGTGCAATCTATATGGTATTATTTGGTTTTACACCGTTTTTTTTTACAAAGACTCAAATTTAAAAATTCGTTAAGTTTTTGGGTACAAGGTTGTTAAAATAAAAATGCATACAAATTTTGCAATTCATTTGGCACTACTTTACGATTTTAAGTTATATAGAGATCGATAGCAATTCCTACTATAATTACGATAACAATAGTCACACCATTGTCTCTTGAAAGGGACCTCTCATTTACTCAAATAGTCAATGGTGTTATCTGTTCTAATTGGTATTTATTTTGTATTACATTGACAGGATATTTTCCGCAATCAACATCGCCTGATACGCTTCATTGAGCAATCTATCCGATTGTGCAGCAATCAATCGCTAAAAGCAGCAAGGCAGAAATTAAGCGAAAACCAAGCAGATGACTTTAAAATCACCTCCTCGGTCAACACAGAGTACTCACATTCTCTGGAGCCAATTAAGCATGACAAGGACCTTGGACATTTATTCAAAGCATCACAGTTGACGGTCCGTCTCGCCTCGCCACAGCAACTGCAACCGAAGCCTGATAATGATGAAGCACTGGGATTTGGCAAACTCTTCACTGATCATATGCTTAAGATTTATTACCATAAAAGTTTGGGTGGCTGGCAGAAACCTGAGATCACACCCCTTGAGAATCTAGTTATGCATCCAGCAGCCAAGGTCCTTCATTATGCAGTAGAGGTAAGTGTATACAGCAACAATGCCCACAATTTATTTGTTTAAAGAAATTGTATTTAAACCGTAAACATTTGAATCGATGTGGCTACATATACCACTAGTTAGACCCTGTACCCGTAGGATAAAAAGACTATAAGTATAAGATTTATGCAAAATATGTAACAGGCAGAAGGAAACATCTCCGAACCCATAAATTATTTTCTTAGTAAGCATGACGAGATGAATCGATCTGACATGTCCGTTCGTCTAGATTCGAGATCGGAAACGAATGACCGCATATTAATCAAACTTAGTATGTAGAGGTACATAATCCCTAGACAACACGAGTTTATTTTATTTCATCATATACTGCCTAATATGATGCAAATAAATATGCAATAAATTTCAAACAAAGTATTCGCTGCGATATCCAGCAATACGTTTTAATACTATATGTCCGGTTGACTATGTATGTAGTTGGCTAAATAGTAACAGGTAGTATGCCAGAATGCACTTGAATTTTAAAGCACTCCATGTACCATTGAGTATAATACTCAGTGCCCACTACACATATGTACATACTATACCACCTATATATTTAAATGTTATGTATTGTTTCAAGTCCGCATTGTACGGCCCACATGGTATGAACAACAGTCAACGCGAACTGAATGAATTTGTTCGTTGAGCAGAATACCTAATAAGATAAAGAAGAAATTTAATGTAAGCCGTGTACTCGATGTGCGTTTTGCACATTCGTTATACCCTGTACCCAAAAGGTAAGAGGGTAATGTGTGAATGTACTTGTACGTAACATGTGTATGTGGTGGACCCCCCTATGTATATATTCTTGATCAGCAGGTCTAGGCAGCTCAATATAGCCATGTCCGTCTGTATGAGCGCAAGAAGCTCAGAAGGTACGAGAGCTAAAATTACCAAACTTGATATACAGGTTCCCCTAAGCAGTAGGCAGGTCAAGTTTGTTTTTTTTATTCTGATACACCCACACCCCCTCTCCCGATATTAATGATTTCCCATAACTCCTTAAAATTCGTATAATTTTGATTCAAAAATTTAACTGGTTGAGTTAAATTTTCCAAGTTAAAAATTAAAGTGGAAATGGATATATCAATTATTCTACTTAACCGAATATTTGATAAATTGTCAGACGAAAAAATTCGGAAAGTTCAACATTATCAAGAAAGACTTTATTTGAAAGCTTGATGCTGTCAATATGATTCAGAAATCGATCGCGGGGTGTGCATACATACATATCTCGTTTTAAGAAGTCAAAAGAAAAAACCTCATAAAATATGTTGTTATAGAGTGAATATCTCTGAACATATTCATTTCGTTCGTTATATAGTATCTATATAGCAATAGGTCCTATTTGGGAACTTTTCTCAGGTAGAGAAGCAGCATTCGAACCCCTTGATAGATCAATGATTCAATTTAATCTTTGTGAACATAAATCAGTATTACTTGTACTTACAATTATTTTAACGAAAAAATTAATTTTTATAAACACAATTTCAGCTTTTTGAAGGAATGAAAGCGTATCGTGGAGTAGATGGAAAAATCCGCATATTTCGGCCCGACATGAACATGCATCGCATGAATCTGGCTGCCATGCGCTCCGGCCTTCCTACATTCGAGGGCAAGGAGTTTGTCGCCTGCCTATCTCGCCTTCTATCTATTGACTCAGAATGGGTTCCACATACAGACACAGCTAGCTTATACATAAGACCCACTCTAATCGGCATCGACGTGAGTAAATTTAAACTTTAATTTAGACTTACATTAATACATTTGAAGTGAGCTATTGGGAGTCAGATCATACAGCAATATGATCGTTAATCATATTCTTGTATGTACATAATAGATAGTTTTCACTGTACATCAATAGTGATGTTTTGTCGCCTGTTGAAGTAAATATGCCTTTTTATGTTACTATAAAAATACTTGGAATCTTTTTGTTTGTACAGCCAACCTTGGGTGTTGCATCTTCCGACTCTGCTCTGCTCTACTCCATACTCAGTCCGGTAGGTAGCTACTTCAAGTCGGATAGCAGCGGAGCCGTTTCACTACTGGCCGATCCCAGCTATACCCGCGCTTGGCCCGGAGGTGTAGGAAATCGTAAAATGGGCTCTAACTATGCCCCTACCATCAATGTACAAAAGGAAGCGGCGGCTCGCGGCCTGCAGCAAGTTTTGTGGCTCTACGGCGAAGATCATCAACTAACTGAAGTTGGCACGATGAACATTTTTATGTTCTATATAAACGATAAAGGAGGTATGTGAAAGAAGTTTGGGTTTTAACGCAAATGCATCAAGTTTTCAGAATGAGATTAACCAGATGCTACAATTATTGGTTAAGCTTATCACAACAATACAATTATAATGTAGCCTATGTTGTAGGCTATTATTGTGCTTGGCAGGGTCTTCCCCGATGTATTCCCATCAAACTATATAGTATACCTTAGTAGATGGCATAACACCTAGTGCTCTAATTGGCGTATGTGACTACCATATGAAATGATGTTGTGTTTATATGTTGTTTTGTTTAGGAGATAATATGCCTATAAATTGGTCTGAATAAACGCAAAGAAATATTTAATTCTACCACAAACACAAGACTGTACCAAGACTGTACTGTATCTTAGTTGCTCCTCAATGCCCCCTATTGGCTTAAAGGCACAGCTTTTCTAGTTTCTATAACATTTTCGGGCCAGACCTTTTTCTAATACTTTGTCAGTCAACAATGAAAAGAGTATAAAAATATAGTACCATATATGCTTAGATTTATTTCCAATGTTTATTATTATTATTATTACTAATTTGTAATCTTACTTTTGCAGAACAAGAGCTGATTACACCTCCCCTAAATGGTCTTATTCTACCAGGAATTACACGTGACTCTATTCTGGGTTTGGCACGCCAGTGGGGAAAGTTTAAGGTGTGCGAGGGTGTCATTACAATGCCCAAGGTCTGCGAACTGCTTAATCAAGGACGAGTAAGTTATAACATTGTAAAACTGTGTTACTGGCGTTGCTATATTTATTTATTTATTTTTACTTATTTCAAGCTCCTGGAGCTCTTTGGAACTGGCACTGCCTGCGTGGTGAGCCCTATAAGCCGCATCAACTACATGGGTCAGGACTTGTATATACCAACAATGGAGCAAGAGAAGCCGGTGCATGAACGCATACGCGAAACACTAACTGATATACAATATGGCAGGGTGGATCATCCTTGGTCGGTCGTTATTGACTAAGATGTGGGCACATTATCCCGGTGTACGGTTGCAAAGCAATCGTGCACGTCATTGTATTAGTAGGCTATAGCGAAATAGTTTTGTGGGTTGCCAGTGTTCTCGAATTATTCGTGCTGCATTTACTTAAAGAGCGTTTATAGTGTTAAGTAGTTAGTAGTCAGTTAGTAAATATACATATGTACCACAGTATAAATCTACATTGGACTAGTTTTACCCTACAATTAATGTAATGCCAAGAAAGTACTATGACAGACACAATAGAGCTCGAACACTCAGATATATTATAATACAAAAGTAAGGACTTGCAGTCAAATGCGTGGGATCTATACAGTACTAGTGCTCTCAAATACTTTTAAATTCACAACACCAATTTATTTATTTGTTTTTTTTTTAACTTTTCAATTTTTCAAACTATTAAAAATTTTTGTACATGCTTTGTATTCGGTCCAGTTTGTATTTTGGGAGGGAGAGTATTGGGTGAAATGTACATTCAGGACTAGCTTAGCATGGATACATATTATATTTAAGGTCCATTGTTAAATTCACGTGTGTATATAAGTATTGAAATACTAGCCATGCTAAAGATTCATTCAAGTAAACTTGTTTAAACATAAAACTTTTGCCATTTGAGAATGTTGTGTATATATACAGTTTAGAGTTATGCAAAATGAATGGATAATGTTAGTAACGTATCAGAAAGTGCATTTATTAGTTCCTAAGTTATTGATGTAGTTTTGAAGAAAAAATGTAGGGCATTTAAGAGTGGTAGACACCTGTGACCTGTCGAAAAAAATATACATATATCTATACAAGTTTGTGAGGCAATCGAAAAATGTTTGAAATAAACTGAAACCTATCTGTAAAATTAAAAAATTAAAAAAAAAACAAAAAAAAAAATAAAAAAAAACGCGTCAACTGACCAGAAAAAAGGTAATTGTATTTGAATTTTTATATAACATTTGATGGGTTCGATTCATGAGCTTACATCTGTTGCTCTCAATACAGATTTATTTGATAATTTTTCCCGAAAAAATTGATGAAGAACTTGAAACGGGGAGTCGTAGGCACGTCTTTGAAAATTTCTGAAAAATACGGAAAGTACTTTCTATATTCCCAGGTTAGATTTTAAAACTTCTAATTTCAGCTGTCCGAGTAGGTAGTATTGGTTCTTAAGGTGCTTTTATCTGTAGCAGTATGTAACTGGAATGAGTTTTTGGTTGTGACATGGGATGAATGATTTGTGCTTTAGTCAAAAGCTAAGCAGGGGCTCAAGCTGTAACTAAGTTTTCGTTATGTGCTCAACTTCTGAAGAGCCACGCCTACATCGCTTCCAAAAACCTTACCCTATAGCTTGCAGTTGCTTACATCGATCTACCCAGTTGGTATTGATCTCTAGTAATGATGTGTAAGGAGATTAAGGGGCTTTGCAAATTTTAATTCAAGCACGATCCGAGGAAATCATCGATTTTACCATCTTCATTTTTCCTTGTAAGAGACTGTAAGTGCTGAATTATTTGCACATTTTTTTTAAGCGACGTACTTCTCTGCGTCTTTTAACAACAATTCTTACCCCTTGTGCAGTATGCCTTCACAATTACCCAATATACCCTGTACCCGCAGGGTAAAAAGGGTATATTAGGTTTGTGCAAAGTATGTAACATGCAGAAGGAAGCATATCCGACCCCATAAAGTATATATATTCTGAATCAGAATGACGAGAGAAATCGATCTAGACATGTCCGTCTGTCCGTCCATCTATCTGGATGAACGCAAGGACCTCAGAAACTATAAAAGCTGGAATAACCAAAGTTTGTATCCAGATCCTAGGTCCGAGAAAGGACGGGTTTATTCTATTTTTTTGAATTCCCCCCACACTCCCTTCCCCCGCTATTCCAATTCAATTCCGTCCACATTTCAAAAGCTACCTTAACCAAACTTTGCACACACAATTGGCAATATACTATTGCAACGTATATTTACAGTTTAAGATCTTGCAGTTCTTTTTGATATTCACATTCAATATTCACATCTCCACTATCGGCAGCAAAGCTCTTCTTCTTGGTATTATTAAACCATGGTCCAAATAGTTCAATACCCCTAACCACTAAGCTATAACATAAACAAGTAAAAAAGCTAAAGTCGGGTGTCCCGACTTTGAAATACTCTGTACATATGTTTACAATAATTATAGAAAATAAAAAAAAATAAATTAAAAAAAAAATTGGATCGATTTTACCTCTCTCGGTATTCGAGCTCACGTAAAGGGTGTATAATTGCACATTTACATAGCAATTGCGTCTGTGTGAGTGTATGTATGCCTATGCGCATCAATTCGTGTCTGTGTAAGCATTTTTGCAGTCAACCAAACAGCAACATCAACAACAGCCGCGGGCAGCGCTTGAGCAGCGCTGCAGCAGCAAATATATTTATGGCTATAACTTCTTGGTAAATCGGTCTATCATAGTGGCATACGGACACATAATTACTAACTGGGGGTATTTGCAAAATTTTAGTTCGAAATTCCAAGAATTACGGGAGTTAGAGAAAATCGCATTTGCGGGGGAGAGAGGGGAGGGAGGGAAATTCCAAAATATACATTTTCTGCGTATTCACACAAGGCATCTTGGACTAAAATTTGGTGTGCCTAGGTCTTATAGTCTCCGAGATATAGGCGATTATACGAATGGAAAATCGGGAAAACCCCCATAGGGGGGAAGTGGGGGGGAAAATCAAAAAAATAAAACAAACTCGTATATAATACACACATAACGCATCTTCGTGCAAAATTTGGTGTCTCTATCTCTTATAGTCTCTGAGATCCAGGTGTTCATACGGACGGACAGACAGACAGACAGGGCTAGATCGACTCGTCTTGTCACGCTGATCAATAATATATATAATTTATGGGGTCTGCCACGCCTCCTTCTGCCTGTTACATTTTTCAGCTCCCGCAAACCTAATATACTCTTGTACATTTCATGTACAGAGTATAATTAAATCAGAACCGCATTGAATTGGTCCAGAAACAATTTTTTTTGTTTGATCTTCGTGGCCATAGCTTACCGTTGGATAGTTCTTGGTGATCTGGTGATCACACAAATTGATTGTCAGAGATATTGATTCTCCTGTGCTTTTAGATCGTATACATTTTTCTGTACCTTCCAGGCCAACAAGGAACATTTTGCCTCTTTAACTCAACAGATGCACTAGTGATTACGCCATTCAAAATTCTATGCTCTGAATATAATACTTATTACTATACTTTCTCTCAAGTGAGCTCTCTTTCCCCTCACTGAAATCTTCTATGTTCAGCTCCTCCAGCAGAATCTTTGGGTATAGCTTGATATTTCATCTTCATTTGTTTTTTCTTAGATCTACTTGTAATATCATTACTACACTCTTCTGTGAACTGGGGCACAGCTGGTCGTTTGGCAAATAAAATACCCCCACCGTGTCGGATTCGATTATTATATTAGATATTTTTGTAATTTCTATAGGCGGTTTTAAAATTTCGTTTTATTTAGTTTATGTTCTCTAATGTATTGACTTTTTTACATAGACAGCTTTGTCTGTCGATGAAATAAATAAATAAGTTATAATTTCGATTTCTTTGAAAGAAACATTTTCATTATCTTAGTCATACGATATTTGGAGGACTGGTAACCAGGTATCCGGACTGCCATTCATCTCGTAGACACGATACGACTAACAGTTAGGATTGCAGGTCTTAGCTAAATTCCTCACTATATCCACCATTATTCGTAAGAAGCAGGAAAAATGTTACCCGAGAGCAGAATACTATATATAAAGCTAGACCAACCAAACTTAGTATGTCTATTGCCCGAAACCCTTGATAGGTTAAGTTTCTGTTCTTTTTCCTGATGGCTCACTCTCCGGTATATGTGATCTTCCTCATAGATATTAGTGATTTTCTGATATAACATGATCTTATCCGTTTTATTTTTGGTTGTTCATTTAATTGCTTACATTAATTATGACAGTGTGCTAAGGGGGGCTTTATGAGTGAAAATAGTCCTATCCTCGGTTGAGGGGCGAAGCAAAGAGTGGTGTGTAAGGCACGATCCCCTTTCATCATATCCCCCAGGGCGACTGTGACCGACAGTAGGAACACATGAACCCTAGTAGCAGCGGTTGTTTTAATAACAACTCTAGGTATTACCCAAATCTTTTGGTACTACAGGTTTGGCCATCAGTGCACACCTCATTTCAAGCATAGATTCTGTACAAATTAAAATTATTAAACATTAAACATAAATTATTAAATCGAAACATTAATATCGAAACGTAAAATATGTAGGAAGCACACTGTCAGTTATTTCTGGTGAGCGTTCTATCTTTTACTTCCGAGAAACATATGCTATACGCGTGCACTTTTTTTGCATAAGACAACATATCGGTTTAGAGAAGATATCGTACACGGGTAGAATTTACACAGTTGCGCAGAGGAATTGGAGTGCAAGGGATGGCTGCAGCAGTTCAAAGTGATCTTTAATAGAAAAAGAGCTTAAATACAAAGAGAACATAATTACAAGCAAAACTAAAACGAACATAAGTGACAATTACGTAACATAGATATTAATTGTTCTGTCCCAAACATACAAGTACTCCCGTTGGAAGAGGTAGCGGCCACTTGGCTTAGCGCGACCCTGATTATGCTATTTTAGCCAGGAAAAAGTTCTTCTTTGTCTTTCTGCCTCAGAATACTACCGACTGGCGAGTAGAATGGAATAGCCGACGACACGATAACTCCTATACCTTGCTGCCTTCTTTACAAATCATTTTACTTTCGCGCGTGATGGGATATATCTTTGAAGCTGTTTTCGAAATTATCGGAGCTGTGTTTTATGCGTTGGCCTAGCTAGTACCTCTGGTTATAACATCGAAAGCATTGAATCATGCAGAAAAACCCTGGGTGGAGTCCCTTGCCCAACTATTTATTTCAAGAATGGCACAAATTGCTATTAAGCTATCGAGTTCTCAGCCAGATTCGAGTCCCGAGGAAATTGCAGCTCACTCCGATGAAGCTGCAGTTTAATGGTTTTAGCGACTCTTCCTAACTTACGAACCTAAAATCTAGGCGCACGAACAGCCCAGTCAGGGTGTTATGTCAATCTCCCCACCGCAAAAACAAAAACCGCGCTAGACTTTATCTTTACTCCGCTAAGAAGTGTGCGGTTCTACGCAATTTTTAATCGGGAGCAGAAGCTAAAGTCGCTAAGGCTAAGTCTTGTTCATTTCATGTACAGAGTATAAATCAAGAGAGAACGCTACAGTCGAGCAAGCCCGACCGTAAAATAACCTGTACTCTCCACAAAAAAAGGAAAATTAAAAAAAAAAATTGGTAAAAAAAATTACATTATTAAATGAATAAAGACAATTTATTTAATACATACACAGAAGACATGTTGAACCAAAGCAG